TGATATCTAGAACAGAGGATTATATGATCACTTATCTTAAATGGCGTATCATCATCATCTCAGTTCCGCGAGACTTTGAAAGAGCTACGATTGCTGGTCGGTTCCTGAAGTCATTCTTGCAATTATAGTTATTAAACTTATCCAAGTGAGAGATTGTTGGATTAGGTGTCTAAGTTCATAACTATTTCTGGAATGTACTTGACCCGGTTGGCATGGTCCATTTGGGTTGCATGACATTGCAACACTTGGATAGACTAAATGAGAGAAAGGACACTTAAAGTTTATTAATATATTATAAGTTCTAATATATTAATAATATTATTTAATTAGTATTGGTCAAGAATTAATTTAGAATTAATTTGGTGATCAAAAGGAGACTAATTAAATATATGGGGTTGATTGTGTAAACCATCCATTCTTTTATAGTGGGCTAATGATCCATGGTTTATTGAATTGGGCTAAAACCCATAAGGTGCTCCATGGATAGTCCATGGAGGTTATAAACCCATGGATCATGGAATATGAAAAGCCATGTCAATTAGGGTTTACATGTTGTAACCCTACTTGTGACACAACTATAAAAGGACCCCATGGGCTACCAAAATCGACACTATGTGTAGAACAAGAGGGCTAGCCGATTTTGAGAAATAGTGTACTTCTCTCAAAGTTATTCCAAGAGTTGTGGTGTTGTATGAAACATTTGAGGCATCACATTTGAGGTGTTAGGCTCACAAAGTTCTCAAGGAATCCAACCAACAAAAAGGTATGTTCTTCTAATAGCTTTTATGTTTCAAAGTTCCCCATGCCATGCTAGTTAGGTTAAGAACCTTGGAAAATCAAATTTTCATGTATCTTAGTAAAACATAGCTCCAAGATTTCTAGGGTTGCATGTACACCTTAGGAGTGTTAGAATGCTCAAAACCCAACACCTACAACTAAGGAGTCCAATAAAATTCCAACAGCCCAACAAGAGAATCCTGATGGCCCAAAAAGGCCAAGACATCACAAACCCAACCTAGCCCAACACCGAGAAGCCCTTATGTCTGAAGCCCAACTTGCGGAGTACGCGGGGCGTACTCAGCACGTACGTGAAACATACTCGCTTTAGGGCTTGTACGCCAAGCGTACCTACTTGTACACCCAACGTACTCCCCCATTTTGGCCAACCTTCACTTTTCCAGCTCTTAATCAATTAAGACCTCAATTCAAACTCATATATGACTTCCTTAAGATGGTTTATCATGCAAAGTTGCCAACTTTACGTACATGCATTGCTTAATGAGGCTCTTAGAGCTCAAAAGAGCTTAATAAATGACTTAATTCATGCATGAGACCATAAACACCATAAAGTTTGCACCTTTAAGCTTGAGGAACTCTCCAAACATCCAGATCTACAAGATTTAGCTTCTAAAACGGCCTTAACCCATCAAGACCAACCAAAAAGGGACAAAGAAGCATAAAACGATAACATGAAGAGATCTAAGCATACAAGATCAAGGTATGAACGTTATACCTAAAAAGTCACCAAAAGATGGAGCTAAATCTAGATCGATAGGCTTCCTTCCAATGAATGAGTCTTCTAATTTCTTCTTCTAACACTTCAAGGAGTACAAACCACCAAAATCAAAACCAAGGCTAAAAAACACTCAAAGATGCTATTAGGGTTCAAGATTAGGGTTTTAGAACAATATAGGCTGATAAAGAGACCAACCCTAGGAACTTAAGGAGCTTAAATAGGTTGCAACACCCTGAAACTATGGTTTCATTAAACCCCTCGTACGCCCAGCGTACGAGGCCTCGGATCCACAATCACCCCTCCTTAGTACGCTAAGTGTACCATGTGGTACATCCCGAGTACCAGCTTCTCAGCTAGTACGCTAAGCGTACCCAATGGTAGATATATGAAGGAAATACTTATGTTGGTTATGTGATAGATATATTTTCAAGATAATATCTTCGCGCCCTATATTATGGGTGCATTTGACACCGATGTTTTTGTTTTTGAAAACTTTCAAAATATTTTTTAGCTTTTAACAAAAACTAAAAAATAAAAATTAAAGAATCTTTTAACTTTTATTTTAAACAAAATATATATAATCTAAAAGTTATTTTCTAGTAACTTTTGGTAGATTTAGGTTTTATTTGGAATACCAACTCCAATGAACCTCTAAAACACTATTTTAGAAACCATTTTCACTCCGATTATTAACTTTCAAATATCACACCATTTTTGTATTTCTTCATTTTTACACCAAATATACAGACCAACAATAAAAGACCTCTAAAAAAGACCATTTTAAATGTTTATTGGAATGAAATCACCATTTTTATGTTAAACCATCACCATTTTATTTCTATGGTTAGAGAAGCTCTTAACTAACTTATAAACCGTGTTATTATGGCTTAGTAGGGGTGAGCAAAAATCGAACCGCAAACTTTAAAAACCGAAAAACCCAAACCGAAGCGAAAACCGATGGTGCGGTTTTTAGTTTTGCAAAAACCGAAAATTTTCGGTGCGGTGCGGTTTTCAGATTTGCAAAAACCGAACCGCACCGTAGGATATATATATATATATATATATATATATATATATATATATATATATATATATATATATATAGGTTCAGTTTATTTGAGACCATGCTAATTTTGTGAGACCGTGAGATCAAATCTAAAAATAATTTTAAAATGCAAAATAAAAGGAAAAATCCAAAAATTCTTTTTTTAATTATTATTTTCGGAACTTTAATTATCTAAAAAAAATATAAAAAAAATAAAAAAAAAATTACCGTTTTTTTTTTTGAAAAATACGTGAAATATTATAATAGAATATTACACTGTAAATATTCTAATGTGATTTTTAGAATGTTAGAATATTATACTAGATTTCTCGGATGTGTAGAATATTCTATTATTCTACTAGAATATGTAAAAAAAGTATTTTTTATTTATTTATTTTTATTTATTTTTGGTATTTTTTTTAATTTTTTTTTTGGAAAATATAAATTCCGAAAATAATATTTGAAAAAAAAAAATTTTCGAAAATTTTCAGTTATTTTGCTTTTTAAAAATGTTTTTTGTTTTATCTATCAAATGAATGGCTAGGATTGCGTCTCACGGTCTCACAAAATTAGGCCGTCTCACATGAACCTATCCCTATATATATATATATATATATATATATATATATATATATATATATATATATATATATATATATATATATATATATATATATATTCAAGTTCATCACTTTAATGAAATCCAAAAGTTTTTGTAGTTTATAATTTTATTTCTTTTAAATCACGGTTGTCGATATTCTTTATATTTCAAAATATACAGTAACAAACAAAAATGTCAAAATTAATTATGAATATTCACAGAGAAAGAAGCTAGCACTTGTTTGATTTGTTTGTCCCACATCGGTGGTATAAAGAAATAGAGGAGCCTCTTCTATAAAAACGGTTTGAGATGCAAGGTCGAAAGTTAGGCAGTTGCTTAGTGGCCTACCATTATGGGCTATTGGGTTTTTGTTTTAGTCATGAAGTTTTTGTCTACTAAAGGTTTAATGAGCTGAAACTTGTTATTTTTATATTGCCAAGTTAAGAAGTGTTTTGGGTTTAGACTCTAATTTAAACTATATTAAAAAATAACCCCTCGTCGTTTTTGGAAATTAAGTTTTGGACGTGAAATAAACCTTATTAATAAAAGAAAAACTACACAATCATTTTTTCGCGGTTAAAAACCGAAACCGCACCAAAATAACCGAAAACCGCATAAAAAGCTGTAAAACTGAACCGAATAAAAAACTGCTCCAATCGGTTTTAGATATATAAAAAGCGCACCTATCGGTTTGCGGTTCGGTTTGGTCCAAAAACTGCACCATGTTCACCTCTATGGCTTAGCGTTTAGGAAACCATAAAATAGCTTCTCATAACTTATAAGCTACATTTATTATAAAAGCTATTGCTTTCAGCTTCCGGCTACAACGACAAATCCGGTCTTAGTTTTTCAAAGCTTTTAGCTTTAAGGGTTTATCTAACTTTTGCCCTTTTAAAAGTTACTAATTATTTTTGTCTAACATTTTTGTTCAAATAAAGTTTACAACTTTAAGCTTCCCCTTATCAACAACGAACGGTTATTAACTTCAAATTTTCAACTATCCCCTGCCCAATTTTGTCAAACTCTCTGTATATACCTTGATGGTGGTCAATATTACTATATACTAAGGGAGTGTTTAGCTAAGCTTATGACTTTTCATAAACACTTTTCAACTTATAACTTATAAGCTAATAAGTTAGAGGGGAATTACTTATAGATTTTGACTTATTTCCGATATAACACATTCATAAGTCATTTCTATCAAAACACTTTTTTTATCTTATACCGGTATGGAACCAGTAACAAGCTAAAAATGAGTTTAAATAAGTTTAGCCCAAATACCTCTAAAACTTAAATTTTTATTACTAACAACCTAAATAAAGATCATTTCCTAGGACTCACCGCAAAGTAAAAATACATTCAAACAAATTAACAAAAATTAGTTCGACACTTGCCACAAATTAACCGTTTTAAACTGAAAAATCTAATAAAAAAAGAAATTAAACGATGCAAAAACGCTATTAAAAATTCTCAAAGAAAAAAAAAACAAACTTTAAGTTTTATAGAGCATATAATATATGAAAGATAATCTGTCATGTTTAAAACTTGTACGTTACAAGCAGACAAATCGTGCAATGGAGGAGGACGACGGACGGAGGGATCTAGTCAACGCCGTTTGACCAAATTTTCTTCTTGCTTTTATTAACGGCAAGCCCTTGCAGAGAAGAATGGTAATATCGTAATTAAGTGAAGATTTTTAGGCAGTAGTATATTTCAATGGTCAGATCTTTAATTTAATGTTCAGTGGCGTCGTATTTGTTGTGTTTAATCTAATTAATTCGATAAGGTCTCTTGCTATATATATAAGGCCTCAATTTTTTCTTCACATACAAATTTATTGTATATATACGTATAAATATATGATATCTATTATATATATACACACGATATACCCATCTATATATAGAGAGACACGCATATCTGTTCTTTTTAGAGAGAGAAGGAGAAGGGAATGAGAACAAGGCGTGGGATTTCTTATAAGAAGGTGAATAACATGTGTTGTGAGAAAAGAAGAAGAGATGGCAATATTATGGGTGAGAAGATGATACGTAGCCGGAAAAGGTTGAAGTCGTCGTCGGGGACACCGGTGGCGACTGTTTCCGGCCAATGTGATTTCCTTGATACGCTTCCAGACGACATCGTTTTGTTTATTCTTGCAAAGCTTGGTGCCACCGCCGCTTGTCCCGCCGATTTTGTTAGCGTTTTATCAACGTAAGGATCCGGATTTGAGATTTGTAATTTTTTTTTTTTTTTGAAGTTTCCAGTTTTTTGTCTGAAAAAGGATCCGATTATCACGACAATTCTGTTAATTTTGTTACTGATTTTGTTCGTGTTTGTTGAACAGATGCAAAAGGTTAAACGCGTTAGGTGTTCACTCTATTGTGTTATCAAAAGCATCTCCGAAGGCGTTCGCTTTTAAATCTGAAAACTGGTCGGAATCTGCTCACAGGTTTCTTAAACAGTGCTCAGATGCCGGAAATATTGAAGCTTGTTACGCACTTGGCATGGTTAGTATAATTTTTTTGGTTTATATATCTTGATTGACATTCTGTTTATGAGCATTAATTAAACTGACATGATCTTTACTTTGTTTGACACAGATTCGGTTTTATTGTTTGCAAAATCGAGGAAGCGGAGCGTCTCTAATGGCTAATGCGGCGATGAATTCCCACGCTCCGGCGTTATACTCGCTTGCTGTGATGCAGTTTAACGGTAGCGGCGGTTTAAAAACTGACAAGGACTTACGCGCCGGTGTAGCTCTTTGTGCTCGTGCGGCGTTTCTCGGCCACATCGACGCACTCCGGGAACATTGCCGAAGGCCGGCGGTTTTTGGTTCAAGCCAACGCCCTTGAGCTTGCCGCCGTACTGTCAACAACTCCATCCGCGTTGATGTCCGGTAACTGGCTGACATGGAACCCCCTACCTCACCTCCGCCATGGAAACATGGTGGGTCCTGGGTGTCCTTTACTTAGCGATTTCGGATGTAACGTACCTGCACCGGAACCTCATCCGTCCAACCGGTTTCTTACAGATTGGTTTTCCGATAAGATACTTTCTTCGGGACTTCGCTTATGCTCTCACGCCGGTTGTGGTCGGCCGGAGACCAGAAAACATGAGTTCCGGCGATGTTCAGTTTGCGGAGCTGTTAACTACTGCTCTCGAGCGTGTCAAGCACTCGACTGGAAGATGCGTCACAAGATGGAGTGCACACTAGCTGAAACGTGGGTCGATGACGGCGACGGTGAAGACAACGGCAATGTTTACTACGACGATGGAATGGTTGTTGAGAGTTGAACCGTTCGCCGGAGATACTGAACTTACCAGTGATTGTAACGGCAGTTGAAGCAAAGTTTTGTCGGGATAGTTTTGGAATTTAAAATATATGCTTTCTTTTGACGTTTGCCGGAAACTCGACGTTAGTAAGAGAAATTATTTTTTTTAATCTTTTTTTTATAAGGGTAGCAATTTCTGTACAATATATTTTAATATAGCTACCTTTTATAATTAGAAAATAATAAATGAAAATATTTATTTAAATAGAAAAGTGAAATTGCTTGATAGTTCTCATTTTTTGTTTCTAAAAGACTAAAACTAAAAAAAATGAAGATGATACTCGATTTTCAGGAAATTATTTACCTCTAAGTGTAGTTTTTTTTTTTTTTTTTTAATTTAACCATTCTTTATTAATTCGGTTACATATTTTTGTAAAGAAATAACATGTCGACGTAAAACATATATTAATAAATATATGTAAAACATAGATAAATCATCAAACCTTTATTTAGAATCCATATTATAATTAATGGCAATTAATAGGCTATAGATTCTAGTTTTACTTATTTATTGTTTTTTTTTAAAACGTCAAATATATTATAAAAGAATGAAATTTTTTCTATGCGGACGACGACGCCTTATTTGTCGGTGAATGGTCTAGAACCAATCTTAAAAATTTATCATGGATCCTCAAATGCTTCAACGCCTCCTCGGGTCTCAAAGTCAATTTCCATAAATCTAGGGTATTCGGGATCGGGGCTTCGGATCGAGAGTCCGCAAATTGGGCTAGCATCCTTGGTTGTGAAGCGGGCACATTCTCATTCAATTATCTTGGTGTGCCGGTGGGTGCAAATATGAACTTAATAAAAAATTGGAAACCAATTTTAGATAAATTTCAATCAAAAACTTTCCGCCTGGAAAGCAAAGACGTTGTCTTTCGGTGGACGGTTGACCCTAATTACCTCAGTTTTGGGGAATCTCCCGACCTATTTCTTCTCTTTGTTTAAGGCACCGATGGCAGTCATGAGGCTTTGGAGAGGATTCGCCGAAGGTTTTTATGGGGTGGTGATGAAAATAATAGGAAGATCCATTGGGTGTCGTGGGATAAAATTGTGGCCCCTAAATCTGAGGGTGGTCTAGGTGTGGGATCAATTCGTACCCTAAATACAAGCTTATTTGTCAAGTGGTGGTGGAGACTGAAAGTGGAAAAAAATTCGATTTGGAGTTGCATTATAAAAGGGATTCATAATATCCATAACAAACCACATGACTATCTATCAAGCAGGAACGTTCCTGGTGTTTGGAAGAATATTGCTGCAACAAGGATTGATCTAAAAAAACATGGGTTAGAGATTGAAGACATCTTTAAAGTGCGTATAAAATTAGGTTAAAACTCTTTGTTCTGGTTCGATAGATGGCTAGGTACGATGCCCTTAAAAGTCAAGTACCCATCATTGTTTGAGCTTGAATCAAGGAAGAACTGTTTGGTGGCAGATAGATTTTTTTAGGATACTTTTGAAGGACATTGGTCCATTCGAGTAGATGACACAGGTGAATCCAACAACCTGATCAATTTACATAGGGATCTTGATCTAGTTAGGTTGGTACTAGGTGAGGATGAATGGCGTTGTATCCTAGATAATAGTGGGACATTCTTGGTGAATAACATGCGGAAAAAGATTGCATCAAAATTGTCCCCATCCCCCTCTTGTGCCTCAACCGGCTTTGTCTTCAAATGGAATAAGGTATCTCCTAATAAAGTCAATTGTTTTATTTGGCGGGCATTACAAAAGAATATCCCTTCAGCGGTGGCGTTACGATCTCGTGGTATTGACCTCACGACGATTACATGCGGTGCATGCATCAATGAATCCGAGTGTGCTGATCATATACTACTTCTATGCCCATTTGCTCGTTCTGTTACTGATAAAATCCTTTCTTGGTGTGGTGTGCAACATAACTCATTCACCTCTGTGGGCGAACTGTTGGAATATGCAAACGGATGAGGTCGAAATTTGAAGACAAGAAAGAGATTCGTCACCATATGTCACAGACTTATCTGGAACTTATGGAAACTCAGGAATGATCGTGTGTTTAAAGGAGTATTCGCAAAGCCCGCAACTGGTGTTGAAGCCGTAAAATCAATGGTGCATTTTTAGTTAAAATGCAGGAGCAAACAAGTAATGTGCACTTGGGAAGAATGGTCAACAAATCTGTTTTGGTGATGTCTTTAATTTTCATTTGTCGTTCTTTTGTATTTGTTTTAGTTTGAACAATGTTCTTTTCTGTTGGTTTGTTCCTTCGCTAGTTTCTTGCTAGTCGTCGGTTCTTTTTATAAAAGTTGCCGTTTCCAAAAGAACTAGCAATTGACTAGAAGGGGGATAAAAAATGAATAGTGATTACGAAGTAGTGTACTAATTTCACGGAAGGTAAAGCTATTTTTCATTGTAGTTAATACGATACAGTTACTTCCTTACTTTATTGATAGTCTTTCTCATTTAACATTTTATGGAAAGCTCTGAACGGTTTTTAGTTCTGTCCTCTGTTATTTACATTGAATTCACTGTTTTTTTTTTTTTTTTTTTTTTATTATGGTTGGAGAAGATCTTAGATTCTTATAAACCATGTTATTCTCGCTTAGCGTTTAGAAACAATAAAATAGATTCTCATAAATTATAAGCTATATTTTTTGGGAGATTAAATATCCTCCTATTTTTTGTTACTATAAATCTTTCTATCCAATTAAATAGTGACATGCGTAACATTTAAGGTTTATTTAATGATATTTTAGTACGTTAATATGACGCATGTAATCATTTAATTTGGTAGGAGGATTTGTAGGAACAAAAGTAGAAGGATATTTAATTTCTCTATTTATATAAAAGCTACTGCTTTCAGCTTCCGGCTACCACGACAAATCCGGTCTTAGTTTTTCAAAACTTTTATCTAACTTTTGCCCTTTTAAAAATTAACTATTTTTGTCTAACATTTTTGTTCAAATAAAATTTACAACATTAAGCTTCTGCTTATCAACAACCGTTATTAACTTTAAATTTTCAACTATCCCCTACTCAGTTTTATCAAACTCTATGTATAAACTTGATGGTGGTCAATATTATTATATACTAAGGGGGTGTTTGGCTAAACTTATGAATTTTTATAAGCATTTTTCAATTTATAGCTTATAACTTATAAGTCAATAAGTTTGGGGGACTTACTTATAGATTTTGACTTATTTTCGGTATGATACATTGATAACTCATTTCTATCCAAACACATTTTTTAACTTATACAAGTGTAGAACCGATAATAAACTAAAAAGGAGCTTAAATAAGCTTAGTCAAACACTCTCAAAAAACTTAAATTTTTATTAGTAACAACCTAAATAAAGATCATTCCCTAGGATTCACCGCAAAGTAAAAATCAATTCAAACAAATTAACAAAAATTAGTTCGACACTTCCACAAATTAACCGTTTGTAAACTGAAAAATCTAATAAAAAAAGGAAATAAACGATGCAAAAACGCTATTACAAATTCTCAAAGAAAAAAAACAAACTTTACGTTTTATAGAGCATATAGTATATGAAAGATAATTTGTCAAACTCCAAAAGTCCAAACATTACATCGTACTTAAAACGAAAATAGAAATAATGTATAATGCACTTTATGTGAATATCAAATAACATTAAATATGCTAGCTTTTATTGTAAATAATCTTACATACATTAAGTACTAGTTACAACCCACGAAACCTAGGGTAAATATATATATATATATATATATATATATATATATATATATATATATATATATATATATATATATATATATATTATAATATATATATAAGGTTAGGTTATTTTGTTTCTAGTAAATATTGTGTGCCAGAATGCACAGATCTGGACCATTGGATGTAATATAATCAAAGGTCATGATATGAGGGTCTATGATAGTAGAATATGATAACATGTACCATATAATCACACAAATTTAAGCATAAGGGCATTTTAATCAATTAACCTATATTAAAAAAGGCAATTTTCGGATTTTTAGGGATAATTAATTCTTTTATTTTTAAAAATCTGAATATTTTAAATTAATTTAAAATTAAAAATCTGATTTTATTCTGTCAGAATGATAGAATTTTAACCATAAACTAGTAAATATATTTTTCGATTTTATTCTCTCAGAATGACAGAATGCCAACCATAAACTAGTAAATACATTCTGAAAGAATACACAAAATCGATATTTGAACTAATAATATACCAAATAATTACATTGTATGATTGTGATTCATTGAATAATAACAAACATTCTGAAAGAATAACAAGTATAATTCTTAAAAAATAACAACATTCTTAACCAATGAGTGTGATCATTCTTTAATTCATTCTTCAAGCCTTTCCCCATCAGGTCTTCAAGCCATTCTTCAAGCCATTTCTATCAGAAATTCATTGCCAAGTAATTTGTAGTGATACACTTGTAACAACTGCACATTAAACATACAAATAATTAACTACAATTCTATCAGAATACAACAATAATATTCTTACAGAATAAACTATTCTTGTAGA